CCCCCCAGGTCGTTGCCTATCACTATTGCCAAGCTGACAACACGTACACGTGTCTTGTCCCAGAATTTGTCCATAGTATTGCAGCTTTACTTTGCCGGTCACATCAGTTAATGGCATACCGAGATCTTCTAATAAAAGAGCCTCATCTACAAAGCATGCTTAGCCTTAGGTCCTGCGTCCAAGATCCAGTGGCAGCTTTTAAAAGAGGAGTGTTGGAGCCACTTGCAAACCTCAGGAAAGGTATGCCAGGAAACTCAGACTAAACTTTATAAACTCCATGATCAGAAAACCCAAGAGTAATCTGGCATATATTTTAACCATGTAAGGGAGATGATTAAAGCAGTAGAAGTGACTTCACTAGAGAGAAATTTGTTTTCTTTAATCTTTTTCAGTTGTAATCATCTTGGATGTTATTCATAATAACAGTAGACAAACCATATTCAGATGGAAGGGTTTTGGTTTTAAAATTAAATCCTGCAGAACCCATTATTAAAAAGATCTTGAAAAAACACTATTTTGAAAAATGCTAATGGAAAATGCTAAATTATAAATGATAGGATAAATTATAGGTGGGTCTGTTAACTCCACTTATTATTATGGTTACTGACACTTCCTGTTTGGAAAGACAGTTCTGAGTTGCTTGTACTTTGCTAAACTTCAATGATTTTGGGCCCACATTTTCTGTGCTTAGGCATCTGACTCAAGATGTTCAGTGTCAGAACTTCCTCTGTCCATTGCTACCATAAATTTCTGCCCAAATGAGATACTCTTTTTTAAGGGTGAGACTCATGAAAAAGATGTTTTCCCATGTTAAAGAATTTTGGCAACCTTTTCATTAAAAACTTTAGCCCAAGTTTAAAGCAAGGACTTGAGATTTGGCATGGGGATGGGGTTTTATTTATTTATTTATTTTTTAAGGGAATAGTATGCCTTTTCTGGTACCCATAGCCAGGCTGTAAGTTTTTGATATACTGTAGTTGACATAGGCTCAGGGGTGAAGTTAATAGACTTCAGCAGCCAAATTCTGTGCAGCCCCAAATAGACCAAGGTAAAATGGAAGAAGAAGCTGCCTGATTCAAATGTAGAGGGAGTAAGAACCAGATCTGTTGCAAGGGAAGAATTTGATCAGGGTAAAAAGGGGAAAGGTAGGACACACACAGACCAGAGATCAGGGGAGAGGAAAACTGGAACTTGGAATTGGAATCGGGGCGATAGAGGAAGTCTGGAAAATGTGTATGGCGTAGAGGTTGGGAGTTGCTGAGTAAGAAGTGTGACTGAAAAGCATTTTGGTGGGGGGAAAAGGGCGGGTTGGGAACAGATCCCCAAAGAACCAGGGGCCAAGTAAAGGAGAGGCATTGGCTGGGTAAAGAGACAGGAAGAAAATACAAGTTGGTAGGTAGAGTCCAGAGGGAGGAGATAGATTTATTGGTACTATGATGAGTAGACTGAGTGGAGCCTGGGATCAGTGGAGAGAATGGGGCTGAGTTATGGAGCTGTGGGTGGGGAAGAGACGTGCTATAAATTGACCAATAAGGTCTCCAGATTTTGTTATTTTAGGCAACTCATTGCCACAAGGGAAAACGGTGTGTTTCAAGTAAAGGTTTCATAGTTTCTAGGGTCAGAAGGGACCTGAGTAGATCATCTAGTCTGACCCCCTGCCATGGCAGGAAAGAGTACTGGGGTCAGACGACCCCAGCAAGGTGTACATCTAGCCTCCTCGTAAAGACCCCCAGGGTGATCTACCTGTGTCAGAAAAGTCATGTTACCAATCTGGTAAGTAGTGCATGTAGTGGATTTTGTAGTGGCTTCTGATGATAGCTGTCCATGATCTTACCAATTACGTGAGATGGGGTCCAGCATATCTTGAATGTATGAGTGTCATTAGAATTTATTTTCTAGCCCTACTGGGGGCTGGAATATTAACCAAAATGTGAATTCATTGCAGCCATCTTGGATTCCAGTATGAAGACTAAATGCACTACTTGCTAGATTGACAATATCACTTCTCTGATATGGGTAGACCACTTGTATCTGAAACACACTGTGGCTGCTGTTGCCTTTAGGCAACTCTGAATTGCCTGCAGGATGACACATTTTACCCTTCTTTTTTACCCTGCTTTGACTTGGGTCAGGATAGAGAGGATGGAACCAAGTAGATAATACATGGTGGAAATAAGAAGAGTGTATGCCTCTAGAGCAGTGGTCTCCAGCTTTTTTAAGGTTAAGATCATTTTTTGAAGGAAAGGGCAACCCAGGATCTACTGCTGCTCCCCTGCCCAGCAGGTCAGTGGGGGGGGGGGGAGGCAAATTAAGGTGCACTGGGGCCCTGGGCAAGCACAAAATTATGGGCCCCTTCCCCCCATGAGAGCTGGGCTGTAGTGGAGGGAGAGGGGCCCCTTCCCCTCCTACTGCTGGTGCGGGAGGCTGGGTGGACCCTGCTGGGCAGGGGGGCCACATGCCTGCCTCTTCTCCTTGCCCTCACTATGGCCAAATTTACACACACACGAACACACAGACACAGGCGCGTGCACTCTACTCTCACTCTTTGCACATGGGCACACGCGCACACACATGCATGCACACAGAAAGAGACAGATGCATGCAGAGACACAGACAAATGGACACATGCACACTTTCCCCTCACGGGACCTCCCCCCCAACTCTTGATCACATGGAGGCAGTGCTTCCCCCCGGTATGAACTTCCCACAGCTCAGTCTTGCCTTCTGGCCCAGCCCCTGTTACACTGACCTGCAGGGAGCTGCTGCCCAGCTGTCCTGTGGAGCCATGCAGATGCAGCGGGCTGGGCTGGGCAGGGCAGGGCAGGGAGCACCATACCGTGCGTCTGCAGGTGGGCAGCAGCACCGAGGGGGTGGCTGTGGGGGAGCCAAGGTGAATTTTGTGGGTCTTTAGCCCCCAAAGCCCTCCCAGCACTGCCGCCTGCAAAGGCGCAGTGCAGTGCAGCACTCCTGGTCTGGCCTGGCACCAACCGCGCACCCCTCCCCCCCCTCCAGGTGGAGCACAGCTCTCCCAGCCCAGCTGGGCCCCTTCTCCCCTGACATGGTGCCATGAGCTCCCCCCCCTTTCCCCAGACATGGCTCTCCTGGCCTGGCCCCAGCTCTGCCCTCCCTCACCCCAGCCCCATTGGTGGTGGGGCCCTGGTTCCAGCTCCCAGGGAAGCAAATGTGAAAGCTGCAATTTAAACTTGGCATAAAAAATGGACACCAAATTTAAAACTGCAGCTTTCACTTCTCTGCTGATGAGGATCCCAGGGTAGCTGCCTCGCCCCGCACACAGATCAAGGGAGCATGTGCTCCCTGGCCCTCCACCTGGGTGCACGCAGTGGCAGGAGCCCCCTCACATGCCTGGACAAGCCACCCAGGCTCTGACCCTATCCTGGCAGCTGAGGCTCCCACTCATCCAGTGGGAGGGGACATAGAGGGGGATCGTTCCACTCCGCTGGCCTGGCCCCAGCAGCAGGGGGCGCAGCTCAGTTTGGCCAGATGCATCCCGCCACTCCTGATCATGGAGCCTCTAACAGCTGATCTCAGTTTGGGGGGGCCAAGTCCCCCCCAGACTGAGAGAGACTGTCAGAGGCTCCCCGATCAACTAGTTGATCACGATTGACTGGTTGGTGACCACTGCTCTAGAACATGCTTTTTCAGAGCTTGGAACAACCTCCAAAATTCCTGAGTTTTGCCAGCTGTCTGCATGCGTCTGTTACCCCATCTACTGTTGGTCCACATAGCAGAAGAAAATCAAGAGATCAAGTAGGAGATGGGATAGGATGGCAGCTTAAAGATTTATGAGCTGAGAGAGGGATGAGTTTTCATAAGCAACAGCCTATTTTGCCAGGTTCATAGATCTGTGGTAGTCATTTTAATCACCTTTCCTAAGCAGTCTGATGAAGCTTTTACCTATAGAAGTTCATGGCTTTCGGCCCTACTCCCTAAGGTGTCACCCTGCCCCACCTTTACTTGATCTCTAGATTCTCTTTTGGACAAGCAGTAGAGGGAGACTGCTGGAGATGCATGCAGACACCTGCAGAAATCATGAATCTTTACACTTATTTTGCTAATGAACTTTCTGCATGTATATATGAAGCCATGTGATGGAATTTGTGGGTATTGTTTTGTGTTATTTTGTTTTTCAGTGTGTTTTATTTAAAAAGCCAATTGAATTAAATGCAACAAGTGACATTTAAAAGATATTTTCAAGGTTACAAAGATAATCACTCAAGTTTAAATATCAGGATTTAGGTTGCTTGTGCACCAGTTAAATACGTAGTTTCATGCCTTATTTATGTAGTTTTTCTTTGTGTAACAGTTTATAATAGTTTAATAAATGCTAGATGCTTAAATAAGTGATAACTAGATAGAATCAGTCCATAACTTGAACATAACCATGTATTGACCTTCTATTAATATTCTGACAACCATCTGTAATATACATTACTCATGTCGGTAACAAGCTTGTAACACTTTTCCATTTAACCCTTTATAAGCTGTTTGCAAAATAGGATCTTAACATAAAGTGTAATGAGAACAACTTTTGTAGTATGTAAATGTACTTCTGTGATATTTATAACCCAAACACTGTGAGATTACATGATTTATAAGATCTACCAAATGAAATTATTTTTAAAAATTGTACTTTAAACAAAATGAACTGTAAAAATGCATAAAAAATTAAATAGATTCAGACTGAAAAAATTATGAAATGTTAAAGTGAGGTTAGTGTCGCTAGTAGTTTTCAATTTGATATTTTAAACTAACTTTCACTGATATTGGAATAACATCCATGGCTATTGCTACATTTCTCCTGGTACATTTTTTCCTCTCTCAGGACATTCAGAATTATGGAAGAGTCCCCTTTTATGGAAAAAAACCCCCATATAATCACATTTTTATTTATTTGTTTTTTACTGTTTTGTTATTCAGAGCAGAAAATTCCCGAGGAAGAATACATAATTTTGATAGATGGTTTAAATGATGCTGAATTCCACAAACCTGATTATGGTGACACACTTTCTTCATTTATCACAAACATTATTTTTAAATTCCCTTCTTGGTTGAAGCTGATTGTGACGGTGAGAACTAACTTTCAGGTAAGAATAAAGTGTATTTTTAATTTGCCAAAAATTAATCACTGTCCTTTCCTGTGAAAAGTTTTCATACTGCTACAACCACATACTTTGCTAAAGTGTTACTCTTAAGGGGATTCAAAATCAAAAACCAAACAAAAAGGACTGCCTTGTTTATGTTTTTTTATGGTGAACAAGTATGAGCTCAAGGATCTGATCACACATTTGGCTTTTTTCTCTGTCACTTTCTGGAATATACTGACGGGATTAGTGACACTACAAGTAACAAACCTGATTTTCCATATTCTCGGCCTGTTTTCTACAGGTGAGATAAGAACAGGAAGTTGAATCTTTAGGAGTCAAGTTGCCCCAACTCCATAGTGTGATGAGCTTGTCTCCCATCTTCATACAGCATTTCTTTGAGGGCTGGACTATAGATCTCCACTTCCCAGAAAGTGGAGCCCCACAACTTCCCTATTCTAAAGCTTGTCCTTGTCTTCAACACTATTTTTTCTTACCATACATCTTTCAGCAAGTCCCAGAAAACTTACACTTACTCTTTAAAAAAGTCTTTCTCCAGTATTCAGTCCAAATATCTGGTGTTCTGGAGGTATAGAGATGTGCTAGCTTCAGAATCTCAAAGCTACATGGGGTGAAATGTCTTCTTTTTTAATTTATTTAACTGTTTATAAGTTAAACAGGAAGTGAATTACATTACAGGGGTGCCCATTTCTGTTGAAGGCATTCCAAAATTTGCTAGAATGCACAAATATATAGCTCTTCAAGGAAACAAGTCTAAGATCACCATTGGTATTACTGTTTGTCATGCACCATAAACATATGTTAAAAATAGCTATAGCACAAGGTGGCATGGCTATAATTGTCACTCCTCAAACTAAGAAGGATCTTGTATGCTTGATCAATACTCTCATGGCAGTCCTCCAAAGAGTGTCTACGGTGAGGTGGTGGTTCTTTTCTAGCTGAATTTTTACTGAACCATTTGTTAGTGATATGAGAAATTATTTCTTTTTAGAAATATGTTGTGTGACCTGTTATCAGGGGACTGTATTTGAACAGTTGGGCCATGGTAGCACAGCAGTTAAGGCATCTCACTGACTCCAGAGATGTGTATTCTAGCTCTACTCTAGACTCATACCAAAGTGCTGCTTGAGTGAACTGAGCTGTACATGGATATTTGGTCATTCAGGCTGGTGAGTCAAAGGTAGTTGGATATGATGTTAGCCACATCACTGTTGTGCTCTTGGCTATAGAAACTGGTGTTCCCTAGAACTGTTAGCCCAGTGGGGCTTTAGGCTCAACTAGACCATCAGTAGTTGCAAAGGGTTGTAACAGCTAAATGATCTTTTTATTCTATATCTATAAAAGGCTTAGTCCATCTGTCTGTGTGTGTGTGTGTGTGTCCATAATGCTCTTGGGGGCGTGGCTCCAGCCAGTGCTGCATCAAGGATACCCATCAAGAATGATGGGTGGGGAATGACTCCAGTGGAGTGGAGCGGCGGGGAGAGGAGGGGTGGCGCGGGGCCAGATGCAAAGCGGGGGGGGTGTGGCACAGGGTAGACATGAGATAGGGGAGTTGCAGGGTCAGATGCAGAGCTGCGGGGATAGCACTGGGCCAGATGTGGAACGGGGTTGTGACACGCAGCCAGATGTGGAGCCCTTTGCACAGTGAGGGGGTGCCCGATGAGGGGGCAGGGCCGGACACAGAACGGGAAGGGTGGCATGAAGCCAGACGCAGAGTGGGCAATGGCACACAGCAAGATGCAGAGCAGTGGCAACACAGGGCGGTGGTTGGCAGCAGTTACCCACCACCCCATAGTGGGGGGGTGCGGGGCTGGACACAGGAAGGGGGTGGTGCGGGGCTGGATGTGGAGTGGGGGGGTGGCACAGGACTGGACTCAGAAAGACGGGAGAGAGGGGTGGTGCAGGGTTGGACGTGGAGGGGTGTGGGGGTGCACAGCCAGTTGTGGAGCTTCACAGCAGGGGGGTTGGAGTGGGCGGGGCCAGATGTGGAGTGGGTGGGTGGCATACAGCCAGATGCGGAGCAGCAGTGGCGCAGGGCGGTGTGTGGCAGTGGCCCTCTACCGCCCTGTGCTGGGGAAGGGCGTGGGACTGGATGTGGAGCAGGAGGTGTGTGGGGCCAGACACGAACTGGCAGCAGTGCAGCGCGGTGGGGTGGTGGTGCTCCATCCCCACCCCCTCCCCCTCATCATTACTGACGGGCAAGTCGCTAGTATCTATATAAATGCGTATATCAAAAGTATTCATGCTAGACTCTAATTTTTGTACCTGTGTGTGCTTTTTCTTACAGGAAATAGCAAGTTCATTACCTTTTTTCAAAATCTCTCTCGACAATTTCCCAGACAACAAAGAAATCCATGGTGATCTGAATGCCTATATTCAGTACAGGATCAGTAGCAGTCAGGAAATTATAAACAATATATCTTTAAATGGGAAAGCTGATGCAGCCACAATCGGGAAAGTGGGTAATCACCTGATCATGAGGAGCCTGGGATCTTACCTTTATTTGAAATTGACATTGGATCTTTTTCAAAAGGGTCACCTGGTGATCAAAAGTGCAAGCTACAAAGTAGTTCCAGTGTCTCTGTCAGAACTTTATTTGCTTCAGTGCAACATGAAGTTCATGAGCAACTCTGCTTTTGAGAGAGCCCTGCCAATATTAAATGTGGCACTAGCATCCCTTCATCCTATGACAGATGACCAGATTTTCACAGCTATTAATGCTGGTCAGATAAATGGTGAACTGGAATGGGAAGACTTCCAGCAGAGAATGGAGGCCCTTTCATGTTTTCTGATAAAAAGGCGTGACAAAACACGTATGTTCTGCCATCCTTCCTTCAGGGAATGGCTTGTTTGGAGAGCCGATGGTGAAAATACTGACTTCTTATGTGAGCCAAGGTAAATAAAGACTATAGTAAACTTCAGTATGTACAGATAGTTGCTGTTACGTATTTTTACAATCACTTTCAAGGGCTGATGTGTAGTATTAGAACTGCAGTTTTTCCCCAGAGGAAAACCGGGCTATGTTTAGGGCAAAATTTTAGCTGCTAATGCTACATGTAACTCTGTCATAGGGTCCATGCAAACTGGGCCTGCATATCTGAGCATCATTTTCCCCACTGTGCAGTTTCAGTTTCTTAGTGGAAAGCATTAGGTACATGGAAGTCTTCTATTTTCATTTACCTGACAAAATTTGCAATAGGAAACTGCTGGAAGGAAAATTCAGATTTTGAAAGAAAATGGGAGGGGTGTTTTGGGGGAGAGGAGAGGGGTTGGCCTGTCTCTTATTTTTAATTATTCTGACAGTTCCTTCTATCTTTCCAACTTTGTTTCTAGTGTCATTGTTTCAGTTTGGACTAACCTCCATCTTTCTGGTTAGTGTAGCTTGCATCACAATAAAACATATTGTCTGTGAACCAGTGTGTATATTTGCATATTCTGGTACTCTGCATCTCTTATTTTACTGCGTTATTTGGGGGTTTTGGCTTTTTAAGTTCTTTCTTTTAAAATAATAACAGCAGTGTTAATATGTGGTATAATGCTTGGTAATTCCATTTCAAAAACTTAAAAAAGATTCAGGTCTTTTGGATTTTCAGTATCATGAACTTCATGTGATAAAACAGATAGACTAGTTGCAACTGAATTGCATAATAGCCCACATCCTGCATTTACTGCGTGTTAAAATCAGAACCCCCAGGTCTCTTAGGAATTGACTGCAGAAGCATGTTAGAAATACGTTGTAAAGCTTTTGCAGGGATATTGTCCCCTACATTTAACACCAAAAAGTATTTTCATCAGTAATCTCAGCAAAAGAAAAAGACTGTGTGTTCTTTCAGTAACAAACCACTGGCAGTGAGGGGTTGAATGGAATTCCGTCTCGTATTGAGGCCTGGAAAGGTGCAACAGTCAGATTTAGTGGAACTTTACAATATCTGTTTAGGTTGTCGTCTTGATTTCACCCCTTCCATCCACAGATAATCCCTTGCTGCCGTTTCACTGGAGTTTTGGAACTGGTACTGAGATCTGACTGCTTTCCACCAGGAGACTCTTTAGATTTCCCATGACCCCATTCAATTGAAATTTATTCTTTTAAAAGTGACCTCACTGTACTTGGAAAAAAGGGGAAATCTGTCACACCCTCCATCAGTCTAGCAAAACTTATGAACTTAGATCAAGCATCAGAAAGTTTTCCTTTCTCTTGGTTATTTGACAGTCCTACAATCTAAATCTAGCCGCGGAGATATTTAAAAAGTTTAACTGGGTAAAATAAAGAAAACTGAGGTTTGTGTGATGGTATTAGAAACAAGTTAGATGATATAACTAAATTGTTACTAAGTATGTGCGTCTGTCTTATTCCCCTTTTATTAGGAATGGGCACGCTCTACTGGCATTCATGTTTTCTCGACAGGAGGGAAAATTAAACCGTCAACAAACCATGGAACTTGGTCATCACATTCTTAAAGCTCACATTTTTAAGGTAAAACCCAAGGATTAAAGACAGAGGTTTATGATCTTTACAGAAATGCAAAACTTCTAAGGGAATTCAGCATGGTTGCTATAATAATTCCAACTAGCCTTTATAAACACCTGAAATTGCTTGCTAACAAAATGATTAGTTATGTTTCTTTATGTGGGTTAGACATAATAGGAAATTTTCTTTCTAATTCCTGTGTCAAGTATCTATTTTATCACTTCTTCTAGGGTCTTAGTAAAAAGACTGGAATTTCTTCCAGTCACCTTCAAGCTCTGTGGATTGGATATAGTACTGATGGATTGTCAGCTGCCCTTGCTTCTCTGAGAAACCTCTACACACCTAATGTGAAGGTAAGAAAATAGGCACTCGTGTATTCACAACTCCAGCTACACCACAAAATGAGCTTGACCTTGTACCACTGAAATCAGTAGGAATTTTGTCACTGACTTCTTGTACCATTAATTTGCTGGGTCAGGCAGTATCATGCTGAAAAATGTCATGCCTGTGCATGTGCTATATCCCAAAGTAGAAGTAGTGTGGCTGCCTTAGGGTGGCACTGTACGCAGACTCATTTCCTTGGCAGAGTCGGAGCTAACTGTCTGGGGTACAGCACATTAAGGAGGCTACGCTACCTCCAGTTTGAGAAGTAATGTGGAACAATACAGCATGCTTCAGCCCATTTCTGGCTGGCATAGTAAATTAGCAGTTCATGCCCTTTAAGAATCAGATCAGGCCCAAAGTAGGTAAATTTTAGTACAAACCTAGATTATGTCCAGAAATAGTGTATGAATAGTATTAAACTGGTGTAGAAGCAGTGAAAAGAAAAAAGAAATAAAGGATTATGTTTTCCAGGACTGATTGATACAATTTTGCAAAATAGTCTGTGTTTTTAAAAACACGGTGGGAATGTGGAAGGCATTACTCATTGGATTATAAACATAATCTAGATTTTACTAGATTAAAACTCAGGCTAAATTTATGTGACAGTACCCTTATAAGTCTGTTGCCCTGAAGGTGAATTAATGATTTCTGCATTTTCCTTCCTTTTATTTTGTTGTGTTTCACTGAGGAAGTGGGCTTCTCTGATGTTGATCGGAAGTAGTTTGTTCTCTGCCCTGTGGCATTTGATCTTTTCTGGATTGCTTCTGAAATTTTATCTGAAGGATCGTTTGGTATACAAATCAGCCCAAACAAACGCAGTTCTAAGCATTCTAGATCAAAGCTTTATGCCCAGCAGAGTGTTTTACTCTAGAAAAGGAGTCAGATAGTCTCTCCAGCTACTGCTCATGAAAGGCACTTGGATACTACAGTTATAGGCAGCAGCATAAAAGTCTGCAGACAGATATGGTATAGAAGGTGTGCTTATCTTAAACAGTAAAAGGATAGATCTCAATTTTGGCATATTCCATGAATGCAGAGTAATGTACGAGGATTTTTTGGGCCCCTGGCATGTGATCATTTACGGGTGCAATGGAAGCTGATCCCCAAATCCAACAGTTGCATCTCCTGCCATGCCACATGTTCATGGCAGGAGGCATGATTTGGGGTTTGGGGATCAGACCCCATTGCACCCTTTCTACTTGCCACTGCAGGGGGAGCCTGATCTGAGATCCCACTGCAGTCCCTGGCTGGTTCCAGCAATTAGCTGACTGTCAGTCCCCACCAGGACCTACTTTGAATATGTAGTTCAATTTTAAGGCACTGTACAGACCATTATATGTAGAACATTTTTATAGTTTGCCATTTTGTGGCATCTTAAATTCAGTGCATGTGTCACCCTTGTCATTTATGCCACAATTAACAGATTAATCATGACACAGCTGTAATGTGTACAGGGGGCCTTAGGTGCATTCCTGTTTCTAACTTCAGACCTGTCAATCTTAAGCCTCAGTTTCCCCATTTATTTAAAAAATACAATGCTTTTTGTTGGTAATGTTATTTGAGGTGCCACTAAGTGAAGATTACTAACAGTATTTCTTATTACAATTATTCAATCTGGGAGGATTATTTAAAATATCAGGTGTTGAGAGTTTAGTGTAAATTGACTTTGTATAAATCTCAATTCTTGATGGAAACAGGGTGAAAAAGTCATACTTTGAATGCATGACATTTTTTGTAGAATAACCACATCAATTAATCTTTTATTTGACCCAAACAAAAACTCACATTTATTTGTCTTTAAAACATGAATTATGGGATCATTTTAAAGGCACAATAGGTAGTGTAAAATGTCGGTTTTTCCAGAAAAATTATGTAAATTATTTGTGGAGTCACGCTGCCTTAACATTATTGATTAGCTTTTATACTCCCCGTGTCTCTTAAAAAAATCTTGCATAAATTACAGTAATTTAAATTATGCATGTAATTAAGGGACTTCTTCAGACTCATAACAGGAAATGACTAACTGTCGGTTTGCTGTCGGTAGTACAGTTTGTTGTGCATATGTGTGTAAAAAATCATTTAAATTCATATAAAAGTGATTCTCTGCTGAAATGAAAATTCATCAGTGAACTGCTAATGTCACAGATACATAGATGCGAACATTTAATTACAGCTGAAAGCAAGAAGCACTGTTAGTACAGACTCTTTAAAAGCAAATATTTTTAATATATAATTTTAAATCAAGTCATAAATTGACTGAAGAAAATCCATATATTGGAAAACAAGTTCAAAGTACTCCCTTGCCAGTGGCGTTAAGTATAGGTCTTTGACCATAATTTTGCAAGCCTTCAAAGAGGAGATTTTATGCAAATGTAAACAAAATCTTAAGTGATCAACATAGACATACAGGAAGGTCAGCTGTTGATTTTTCTATTTTTAATTCTAACCATTGTTTGGAGCCTTATCCAGTTCTCAGTAAATGGAATCTTTCTCTTGATTTTTATGGGAATTGTGTTAGACCCTAATTTTGTCTGACTTGGGGATACATTGATAAAGTATGGAGAGCCTAAGGATCCCACCTGATTTTCTGACTTGGAGTAGAATTTAAACTTCCTTATCTCAGACATACTAATGTAGTCCCAAATATTAGTTGCTAATAGGTGACGACTAGAGCCAAGCAAGGATTTTCTAAGTATGTGGTTTTTCACCAGAAAATGCCAGTTGGTTGAAAGGTGGAGAATTGGTTTCTTCTGTCTCCAGTGGCAGTGGGGCACAGAGCCCAGTGCACTGCAGCAGACTGCCTCTACAGTGCCCTACACACAAATCCAGGGAGCACATGCCCCTGTGCCTCCTCTGGGGAATGCACAGTGTCGGGAACCCTCCCACACCCCTGGACAAGCTGCCCACGGCTCCAGCTGTCCTGTGACCCATCCCAGCCTCAGGGCCCCATTTGCCCCAGCCTGTTCCCCACTCCCTCCCTCACTGTGGGGGCCTCAATTTGCCCCTCCCACACACACCCCTTCCCTTTCCCTAACTTGCCTGCTGTGGTGGGCAGAGCTCTGCATGCCATCTGGCTGAGTGTAGGCTCTGTATCTGTGTCTATGCGTGCCATTCCCATCCCCGCTGCAGCCACCCGGAGCCTGTGCCTGGGCTGCCCTGTGGCCCTCTGTGCTGCCACCGCTGTCTCATGTTTGTGGGGGCATGAGCCCCCACAAGCCTTCTGTTGCCTATGCTTGCAACCCTTAAAAATCACGCGGTGGGGTGAATTTTGTGGTATCCATGCAGTCTGTCAAATCGTGATTTTTCTCAGGGCCCCACTCATGATCCTTGACTTCCAGATGACCCTACTGTGTGGATTACCCATGGGCTTCAGATCCCAAAGTTTCCAGGCTCCTGGCTCTGCAGCTGAGAGCCAGGAAGCACAGAGCTCCTTCTGATCTGTAGCAGAAAACCCAGAAACCTCCGCAAGAGACATAGTTCTTTAAGGCTTCTGGGCTTCCCCTACCCTGACAAAAAACTTAGGGCTCTACCTCAGGACAGGGCTTCTTGGTTCCTCACTGAGTGTTAGGAGACTACTAGGACTGCCCCTGATTCTAGGGGCTCCCTTGGCTACCAAATTCACTTAAAAAAATAATGGAAATGGTTGGGAAGTTGAACACTTTCAGAATTTTTTTCTGTATGAAATTTCTAACTTTCACATTTTAGTTCCAATTCAGAACAAAAATGTTTTCAAGTTACTGGTATTACTATGTCTACTAAAGGCCCATTTTGAACTACACATACCTACCTAAGTCCCTCCTTAGAGTCAGGATACTCTATGCTCTTCCTTCTAGTGCACATTCTACAGCCTTGTGCTACCTGTACTTTGTCATTGCTCATTGTGCTTCAAGGAGGGATGTAAGAATCATTCAAAAATTATTCATTTAAGCTTCTCTAACTATATTGGTTAAATGGTAAGCGATGGTAAATAATGCAGCAGCTGGGAACCACTCCCAGGGCCCCTTTTAGGGGGGGAGGTGGTGGTAAACTCCATCAGACAACACAGCCCACATGAGGTCAGCAGGACTGGATGGACTCAATCTGAGAGTGCTGGTGGAGCTGGCAGAGGTCATTGTGGAACCCCTGGCAAAGCTCTTTCAGAATTTGTGGTACACCAGGGAAATCCCTAAGGATTGGAAGGGGCCAACATTGTGCCCATCTTCAAGAAGGGGAAGAGGGAGGCCAGTCAGCCTAACATCCATCCCAGGGAAAATCCTGAAAAAGCTCATTAAAGAATCTATGTACGATATGCTCGTGGAAGGTAAGATCCTGAACGAAAGCCAGCATGGCTTTGTTGTGGGTAGGTCTTGTCTTAGCAGTCTCATCTCCTTCTATGACCAGGTCTCTTGCCACCTGGATACTTCCAAAAGGCTATTAATCTAGTATCCCATGATATCTGTGTGGGAAAACGGGAAGATTGTGGGCTCAGCTGCTCGACAGTTCAGTGGGTGGGAAACTGGCTACAGGGTAGGACCCAGAGAGTTCTCATGAATAGATCTGTGTTGTCCTGGCGCGAAGTGGCCAGCGGTGTCCCTCAGGGGTCTGTGCTTGGACCATTGCTTTTCAACATCTTTATCAGTGATTTGGATGTGGGAGTGAAAAGCTGGCTGGCTAAGTTTGTGAGCGACACCAAGTTATGAGGCCGTGTGGTCATGCCAAAAAATAGGTTGCAGATACAGGCAGACCTGGATAGACTAGAGAGTTGGGAAGACCGGAACCAGATGAAGTTCAACACTTCCAAGTGTAAGGTGCTTCATCTGGGGGCAAAAAACCCTCAACATATGTACAGGGTCACTGGTGACAGCTTGACTTGCACTACAGTTGAAAGGGACCCCAGGGGTAATAACTGACCATTGCATGAATATGAGCCATCAGTGCGAGGTAGTGGTCAGCAGGGCAAACAACATGCTGGCATGCATCAACCGATGCATTTCACGTAAAACTACGTGATATTCCCTCTGTGCTCAGCACTGGAGTACTGCATCCAGTTCTGGACACCGCACTTAGATAAGGACGTAGAAGACTTGAGAGGGTCCAGAAAAGAACCACCCGTATGATCAGGAACTTGCGTGGCAAGCCATACGAGGAAAGGCTGAGGGACCTGGGCCTCTTTAGCCTAAAGGAGAGAAGGTTGAGAGGAGACTTCATAACGGCTTACCGCTATATCAGAGGAGTGCATCAGGAGCTCAGTGAAGAACTGTTCACTAGGGCACCCTGAGGGAAAACCAGGACCAATAGATACAAGCTCCTGGAAGGCCGCTTCAGGCTTAATACCAGGAAAAACTCCTTCACAGTCAGGGTGACCGAACTTTGGAATAAACTCCCTCCAGAGGTGGTAGTCACCTACCCTGGAGGTTTTCAAGAGGAGACTGGACAGTCACCTTGCTGGGGTCACTTGACCCCAGTTGTCTTCTGGCCTAGAGCAGGGGAGACTGGACCCAATGTTCTGCAAGGTCCCTTCCAGCCCCTTACAATCTATGAAGCCCCACACTGAGAGGGAGGGTGCACTTGTGTGTGAGTAGGTAATTGCTTAATCAGTGAGTCATTAGGCTACCTGCTGTTTTCCTCTAACCTTACACTAAGGGTACTGGTCCTCTTCACCCCCTCCCCCCTTCATCGTTTCCTCCTTCTTCCCTCCACCTACCCTGCCATCTTCCAGTTCATGCTGGGGCACTGTGTGGCTTTCCTTCCCCACTTCCCTGCCAGATTGTGCCCTGCCCCATGCTAAACAGTAACCAGTAAGCTAACCAGTTATTATTGGGCTTATCCATTAAACGATTAATCATTTATCCTTTCACTTCCCTAGCCTCACAGGGTGCAAAGAGACAGAGACCAGACCTTCATCAGGGGAAAAAATGTATCTTGTACTTAATATCTTATACTTATCCTCTGTTATGTAACTATTGAAAGATAAACAGGAGGCAGGTTACAGATGAAAAAGAAACTATGGTAGTCATTAATACATTACTCACATAGCCAAAACCATATCAGTGGTTTAAAAGTAGAATGAAAAAGAAGCAACCAGTGTCCTGAACCACCATTGTTACATGTTGTTTCCAGTATATGTTGGCATTTGTGTAAACCCTTAAAATCAGGCTAGTAGTAGGAACAGTGATCCATGAGGACAATTGTTGGCTGTGGCTAATACCATTATATTAAATCATTTGAGCACCCTACACTACAGATACAATTACATGCAAGTCACTGCTGGCATGATTAAAATCACTTGTGTACATATGCAGGAGTGGCCTTGACAATTGATTGTCTTTGTTTGTTATGTGGATTTTCAAAACTGTAGTGCATTTCTTCAATGTGTATATGTTACAGAGACATTGAACAGTAATTTTAACTGCAGCATATTTGCATTTAATATGTATCTTATAATGACTGTAACAGGCTAAAAAACATCTTCCAGATATTAATAGCAATTTGAAGTCAGAGAGCCAAAAACTTAAATACTACTAGGTATTTTTGTGACTTGACAATATCTGTTTAGTGTTCTTGTACCTTTATGATTGTTCTCCAGCAACAAAGTAGTATCATGCCCAGTCCCTTGCTCATATCAGTGATATGGTGAGGAGAGTAGGGAACAGTGCTATGTACCCAACAAACAATATAATTTCAAGCACCATTAGAGACCAGGAAGCATGATCACTGCTCGGTAAATTGGAAAGGGCAAGTTCTTCAGGGAAATAATTGTTGTTTCAAGGTTCTCAGAAAGCACAGAGATGCTGATAGTTTTTACAATCCAAAAGGAGCAGAACTAGAGGAGTTCTGTTTTCTGAATCTTCAGAATTTAGCATGGGATGCTGGGACTTGTATAGTTGTAATTTAAAAAGCAGTTGATCCCTGTCTTTAAGATTAAAGGCAACAACTAGGCTCAGATACACTTTAATTATTTTTATGGTTGCTTAGGTTCTGGCATACATTCATGTGATACACTGTCTCTCTGTAGCAATTGAAATCTTGTCATGGTGAGAGGGCATAAAGGGCACTTTTACAAGTGCTCTGGGGTAGGGGAAAGGGTGGAGCTTTACTTAAAGTGGCTCCAAGAGCCGCTCTAACTAAATCACGGCCGCGTCTCATGTATCAATGTCCTCGCACTTAATAATGACAGCGGGAATGCTTGACCTAAAGCTTGTTTGCCGACCTTTAGTTCAAGCATCCCTGCTGCCATTTTTAAGCAGGGCATGCTGATACATGAGATGCAGAAGGGTGCTGGAGCGCAGCAGTTGCCATGCTCCAGCAGGCTGGTGCTCTGACACACTGGAATTCCAGCTTGTTGGAGTGGCCTCCGTGCTCGTGTATAGGCACCCATAATGGCTTAAAAGTTCATGGTATTTTGGATTAATATTATGCTTTTCTTTACATTCAGGGTTTGTTGTTAGTAGCCCAACAGTAATCATTGGTGCCAATGACTTTTAAACTTTCATATAAATATTTATTTAAATATGTGATTAAGTCAGTTTTCTCTTCCTGTTTCAAAACTAAAATTAGTAAGAAATTAGATCCTGCCTCCAACTCCCTAAAATAATATGCTTAAAGAAATTATTTTAAGAAAAGTGAAAAAATAGTTTATCTACATTCTCCTTTAGGTGAGTCGCTTGCTGATCTTGGCAGGAGCAAATGTGAATTACAGGACTGAAGTTCTGAACAATGCTCCAATATTGTGTGTTCAGTCCCATCTTGGTCATGAAGAAGTGGTTGCTCTCCTGCTGGAATTTGGAGCTGCTGTTGATGGTACATCTGAAAACGGGATGACTGCACTTAGCTATGCGGCCGCTGCAGGTCACATGAACATAGTTTCACTGCTTTGCAAAAGAAGTGAAAGGGTAAGCCGTTTCATACAAGAGTGGTTTTAACTGCAGCACTTGTTGATATGAAATTACTGGGTAGAGATGTATCTAATGATAATGAATGTTATTTCTCTAAAACAATGCAATGTGCATGAACATAACATTTTACAGATGTAAATAATAGCAGATATGAAAGGCCTGAGTACAGTGTATACTCTTATCTAGATCCTGGCCACAAAGAACTTAAAATCAAGGCTCTGATTCTGTATAGCCTTGTGCGTGTGCTTAACTTACACAAATGGATAGTTCTGCTGAACTGAGTGGGACTGTTCACCTACAATGTATGTAACTTCATCATGATTAGGATATAAAGCTGAGGTGCTGAATATTCGCATCTCCTTGGATTTACTGGGAGTGACAGGTGCTAAAGAGCTGTCTTGGCAGGAGAGAGACTCAGATTGAAATTGCATTAGAAGGAAGGGAGAAAATTTTCATTAGGGAGCTTGTGTGTTTTTCCTCCATTGGCATCATTTGATTGGTCTCAGCTGATGATGAGTTAACTCTGGTTGTCCTTTTGGTTTCCTTATCTTTCTCATCACGGGACAGAATTGTGTGCACAAATAATGAGCACATTGCTGGAAACTAAATGAAGGGAGGAAGAAGGGTTTGAAGGTAGGAAGTTCCAATTATGTGTGGCAGTGGAAGAGAGAGGGGTTGTTTCAGGTGTAGGTAGGAGCATGTCTGTGGGAAAGACAAGGAATGGAGCAAAAAAGGGAAATAGACTGAGGCAGGCAGGGCTGACTGAGCACAGGGTAGGAGGTGTGTAGAGTATAAGAAAGTCTGAAATGTAGAAATGAGTTCTATAGCTGAGGAAAGAGGAATGTTACAAATATATGAAACCCTGAAACATGATATGGTGATTTATCAGTGTTCCTCCCATGCCAAATTGTGACAGTGATAAAGTGTGAGAGAAGTCAAAATGTCTGCTTCTGCAAAATGTGTTGGAATATTATTTTTGCTTTTACTGCTCCTTTCATTATTAAAGTGAGTTAACAGGCTTGGTTGCCTTGGTTGTTCGGACCTTTTTTTAGTTTAGTAGCCCTAGAATAATGCTTTCCTTTATTATTTTTGCAAATTATTACCTGACCTCTCTGCCTTGCTCATCTGTGTCCTTAGCCAAGGACGGGCTAGCTGGAGCATCAATAGCTGCTTGGATTCAGGGTGTGGCACAAACACGCCTTTCAAGTCCTATATGTTTTCTCCCTTCTTGTGGGGCCCAACAAGTAATATTTCTCCTCTGAACCACATCAGATCCTTTACGGAAGGAGATTGCTCTCCTGTTCTCTGTTAGGCAGTCACAGCTGCTCCAGTTGGCACCCCAGTAAGCTGTTCATGTAAAACCAAATGAGCAGGAAAAAGGAAACATTAGTCTAAATGTGAAGGAGTCTATTGTGACACCTGGTCCCAAACATAATCAGATGCACTTTTGAGGGACACTCCCATGGTTTTCTCACACCTTCAAGTGTGTCTTTAGCCCCCAAGCCCTCTCTGCTATCTGCTGCTTGACCGCTGAGAACGAACTGAGACATGCCAAGAGGCCAGGTTCTTCGTTCAGGGTACATCAATTTTACCCTTCTCACTCTGGTCTTGCTAGTCTTTGCAGAGATTTTGTCAGCTACAAGAATCACAACCTTGGCTGGTTATATTCACAGGAATGATA